TATGCCATTTCAAACAAATGGTTGTCCAATCTCTTCTTAAAAAACGTCTAGTATTGGAGCACCCACAACCTCTGGAGGCAAATTGTTCCACTGATTAATTGTTCTGTCAGTAAGTTTCTCCTTGATTAGTTTCCATCCATTGCTTCTGGTGCTTTGGAGAACAGATTGATTCCTTCTTTTTTGTGGCAGCCCCTTAGATATTGGAACACTGCTATCATGTCACACCAAATCCTTCTTTTCGTTAAACTAGACCAGTGATGGCGAACCTTTTAGAGACCGAGTGCCCAAACTGCAACACAAAACCCACTTATACATCGTCAGGTGTCGGGTGGGTGTGGCCCATTGGCTGAGCGTGGCCCATTGGGTGGATGTGGCCAATTGGGTGAGTGTGGCTGCAGTGGTAACGGCAGACTGGGTGGGACTAAAAAGTTCAATCAATCAATTCCAACTTGCAAGATTTTTTTCCCCCGCGAGAAGTTGAAATTGACTGATTGAACCTTTTTTTTTTTTTTTTTGCACACGGCAATGGAGGCCTAAAGCAAAAAGGTTTTATAAAACCCAGCTGACGGCCTATGACTGGACGACAGTACGCGTGCCCCCAGAGAGCGCTCTGAGTGCCGCCTCTGGCACCCGTGCCATAGGTTCACCACCACTGAACTAGACATACCCAATTCCAGCAACCTTTCTTTGTATGTTTTACCCTCCAGTCCCCTAATCAAAATCAAAAGGACCATTTACATTAAAACATATTCCTTGCTATTAAAGACTTCTTTGCAACTTCTATTTCAGTGTCTTGCCCCAGCAGTTTAGTAAGACATCTGCAGCACCTGCAACTTCCAAAAGTTTGCAAACTTTTACAAACATTTGGGAGGGGGATAAAATTATCCCCCCCCCCAAAGGCTCAGGCTTCTAGGCTTCAATGCCAAATTACTAGGAGCCCAGATGGGTTAGATAGTAAGCTGTTAAGATTCTACACCAAAAATAATATATTATTTACAAAAGAAATATAAAGAATTGTCCCCAACACGTCTGCACTGCAAATATGCAATGGTGCATATTTTCTATAAAACACTGAATAGGGAAATATTTTGGAAAAGTACACCATGCAAATTGTTCAAGATAGTTTGCATAAGGCAATTTTCAAATTGCACTGGAAAATACCCTGTACAAATTAGCCAAATTAGTGATATAGAAGCGAAAATTTTCCATGGAAATAATAAAAATACTGGAAAATTTTCCATTTTCTATATTAATGGCAATTTATTTTCAATGTATCATTTACATCAACAGAATTTACCAAATCTTACATGATGTGGAAAAGCACTAGAAACTCCAAATACAAAACTCATTTTTGAACTGCACTAAAGAGAGTGGAAATAATGCATGCAATTAGTTCTGCTAATGAAGGAAGCTGGTGATTTTGCAGACTTCCTAGAATTTTCTAAAATGAGCAAATGAATTTCAAAGGCAATTAATTTAGATTCATAAATAAATAACTGTAAAATTTCCAATTACTCACAATTTTGAGGGATGTGTTTCCAATATATGCAGTTCCAATTTGCAGAGGGAAAAGGTAGGTGGCAGAATGGAAATAAAATATATGTACAAAAACAACTCTCTCAACATGTCACGCCTCAGGCATATTTCACGTCAGCCTCTAGAAGCTGATGACCCACCAACGTCTATGACCAATGTCAACAATTCTGTTTACCCAAATGACTAATTATTTGATATAACTCCAGATCACACAGACAAGTTACTATAAATACATTTTCAGAAATCAAGTTTACTGCCTGGAGAACTTTATGAGATAAAGGTCAAAATGCAGCATGATTGTAAAAGACTATATATTTGTACTGAACAAGCAAGCTTTTTTAAGATCAATTCCATATTAGACAAGTTATCATTTACCCCATAGGCTTAAGTCCATTTAGCTTAGCATTTTATCAGAAGCCAGTATGTTGGAATAACGAAGAAATTTCCCTTGTAGTATCCTGTGTGGTGGTTTGAGATAGCAATTTTTTAAACAGATTTCATGCATTGGATTATTACAGTAGCTCCAAAAAGTGAATATAATCTTCTATAAAATCATTCTAATGTAAAAATCACACTGCTGTATTTATTTCAAGATTATCAATTCTTTAAATGCAATTTAGGATGCTTTTTTACAAATCAATTTTCTATCCATACTTGTACAGCTTTGTCCCATTTCTCTAGCAAAAGTCACATTACCCACCAATTTCAATTAGGGTCCTGTGTTTCCCAAAAAAACACAGAGGAAATTGCATTCCATCTCTTTCCAGTAACAAAATGCAAAACTTCTGTGCTGTGTGATGAAAGGTCTTTTTCCCCACCCCCAGTTCTTGCTTTAGAAAGAAAAACTGAATTTTCTAAATGGCACATTTCTCAATTTTAAGAAATGATCACAGTAACATTCCACTTGCAAAAGACAGAATTGAAAATAAAGCTGACATTTCAATTCCAACCTCCTCCCTCTAAAGTTTGAAATTTTATATTTTTTTAAAAAAAATAGTTTTTAGCATCTTACCTCAGACAGAACCACAAAATTTTTAATCAAATTGAGTGAGTTCACAACCATCTATCTTCTGTCTTTTCTCCTGGGCTCTTACACAGTTAACCAGCACAACATTCCACAGTAGGGTCAAGTACAGAGAGGGGCAGTAGATAGATTATATTCATTTTAGCTTTATAGGAACAACTTTTTGTGACAAGTGTTCCTGTTGAGTCATACTCAATTCTCATAGCTTAAGTCAATTCCCAGAGTTTTGGCAGCTCTCTTAATCAATTACACTCCATTTATTAAAGTATATGTTTTGATTTGTGAGCAAAATATTTAAGTAACCTAATGAGGTTTAAAAAGTTTTGAATTACTTGTACATTTTTGTTCCACAAATTAAAATAGTTAACTCATATATATTTTTCTGTGATGGTAGGATGAAGGTTGCTTTTAAAGGAACTGTTCTCTTCAACACCAATATCAGTACCATATTTTTTTTTAAAAAAACTTTAATTGAAAACAATGCTTTTAAGAGTGGGGGAAAAAATCAGACTTATTTTTTAAACTATAAAACACAAGGGAATTGGAGGCCATCACTTTGTTCATCTACTCAGAATGGATGGCCTCTATTATGGGGTTGGGGAAGTGCAAAAATGCAAATATTCTTCATAAACTTTCAGCAGACCTCCAAAATGAATCAACAGGCAGAGTTGTCCTAAAAAAAAGATCCCATCATCTTCCGTTCCAAACTCACAGAAACAACAAGCCTTTCTCATCAAGGACTGACCATAAGCCCATTTCTGCACTTTGAGTCACAAGAGGAGGTGCCTACTTTTCCTTACTACTGCAGTTCTGAGTCACAACCACTTCTGCTCATTCAACAGGAAGTGGGCAAGTGTTCTCTTCGTTTTCAATTTACACAAGAGTGAACTGAAACTAGCAACCTGTCCAGGGAGACTGAAATCAAACCTTGGAAAGATCTCTCCCAAAAGAAAAAAAAAAAAGTTTGAAACAAAAAAAAAAGAGATGGGAGCCAGCCACTTAATACAAATATTGAAGGGTTGATGCATGCATTTTTTTTCTAGGCTTCTAAAAGTTCTTTATCCCTGGGAATATTTTAGCCCCAGCAGACTGCCTCGATTCCCCATTAGCTATCTCTGCTAAGCTTTCTCACCCATCTTTGCTATCTCATTTCTGACTAGCTCCCCCCCAGCCCCCCCCCCGGTTCTGTTTGCACCCTCTCCTTGGCCTTTTAATTACACCAAGCAGCACATGCATATATGCATATATACTTCGTCTCTTAAGCTCCAAACTCCATCTGTTGTTACATAACCACCGCCTCTTACTACACTGCCCTGGAGCCGTCTCTCCCCTACTACAGCGGCGCTTCCAGTTGCTCTGCAAAGCTGCTTCCCCAACCTGCCTCCTCTCCAGCCTCCATTTTGTTCTCCTTCCCAACCAGGATGCCGAGCCACAGGTGGCTCCAGCAAGACCCTCGGCGGCTCCCAGACACCCACCCACTCACTCACCCGGTCCCGGGGCGCTGCGGGGGGAGCCTTTCTCAGCCCCAGGGGCCCTTTGCCTCCCCCCCGTCCCACCAAGCTAGATGCAGCCGGGCTTCCCCGTTGACTCGGGCTGCCATCTTTGCACCCAAGGGCAGCAACGCTGAGAGAGCCCGGCGAGTGGGGGGGGGGCGGGCGGGAGAAGGTCGCTTGCAAATCTCTGACCGGCTCTGCCCACGTCCTAAACTGTGGCTGTCCGGCTGATTTCCAGCAAGGTCCCTCTGGCCGGCCTTTCCCGCCCGCCGTGGAGGCTTCAGCGACGCTTCCCGGAGCCCCGTCCGGTCCTCGGCACCCCCGGAGCCCTTTCCCCGCGGCAGGCGGGACCGCCAGACGGGCTTCCTCGGGGGAAGGGACGCCCCGCGCGCGAACCAGGTCCCGGCTCGTGTGCCGCCCTCCCTCCGTCCCCTCCCTCCGTCCCCCCAACTGCCCCGGGGCTCGCGCGCCTCCGCGCAAGCCACGGCGTCGGACCGCGACAGCCACGGCCCGGCGAGGCCTGCCTCCCTCCCTGCCTCCCGCGCGCCGCGCTTACCCACCGGCAGCATTGAAGGGCCAGTCGCTGAGCGGGCCGGGCGCCTCCCACACGGCCTGGCTGGGGAGGCCCCTCTGCCTGCGTCAGGGCGCGGAGCTGGGCCAGAGCCGCGGCCGACGAGGAAGAGCCGGGCCGGGCCGCCTGGTCGCGACGCGACGTCACCGCCCAGCCTCGAAACCGGAGCTGGCCGGCGGGAAGGTGGTGACAGCGGCGACGGCGACAAGAGCGGCGGTGGCGGCCGCGCTTTGCGACTCCCCTCAGCCGGCCCAGACAGGCAGGAGGCGGCCCACCAACCACAAGGCCCGCCGGGAAAGCGGCCCCGCCCGCTCCCCTCGCGCAGGCGCGCCCGCGACGCGCCTTGGGCGCCGCCTCCGCGTCACGTTTCAGGCGGGCGCCACCCGCCCCGCCCTTTTCTCTTCGGGCGGGGCAGGCGGCAGCCCTTGGCGGGAGGCGCTCAAGGCTGACCCGGGTTTGGATGGGGCACCACCAGGAAACCCAGGGCTGGGAAGTCGCGAAACCTTCCTGGAAGGAAGGAGCCGGGGGCCAGGCGGGGTTCTGCCACTGAGACTTGGTGCTTTCTAGCCTCCCCTAAAAGGGACTCCTTCATCCACCCATCCAGGTGAACATCATTTGCAAAGGAGAGTCAGGCTTCGTGGCATCTTGGCCTGGCGTTTTACATATATAATTTTATTAAGCGGATCCAAATATAAAATACAAATGGAAGTAAAGATAATGGGAAAATGGGGAAGAGAGCAATGGGAGGGTAAAGGGGGAAAGGGGAAAAAAAGCATTTAATTTCCAACTCTTCAGTGCAGTAGAACAAAAGTTCCGGTTTCAACTTATTTTTGCAGATTTAGTATATACCAGCCATTTCTATAACCACAAAGCTGTCTAATCAGCAAAGCCCAAAGTCAGAATTTCTTTTTTTCTTTCTTTTTCTTTCTTGTCTCAAGCACAAAATTTAGAAAAGTTTCCAAGCACCCACAAACACAGTCGTCTTCCCCAGGTGCACAGAGCAACCCTCTGACAGGAATATTTCTAGAGATGAAAAATTTCTGGAAATGTTGAAACCTCGAGGCAAAAACTGAAGCATTTGCAATCTGGGTAAGTATGTTTTGGGCTGCCCAGCATCTATTTCAGTAACCAAATGAAATTCTTGGCAGCTGAATTGTTCTCCGGCACAAAGAGAGCCAGTTTGGTCTGCTAGTAAAGGTGTCAGGCTAGAAACTGGAAGACCCTGAGTTCTAGTTCTGCCTTAGGCCGAAACCCATCCAGGTGATGAGCTAGTCCGGGGATGGGCAACCTTGGCTCGTGGACTTCAACTCCCAGAATTCCTGAGTCAGCATAGGGAGTTGAAGTCCACGAGTCATAAAAGAGCCAAGGTTGCCCACCCCTGAGCTAGTGGCACTTCCTCTTAACCCTAAGAAGTCAGCTGCCAAAAAAACCTTGCCAAAAAAATTGCAGGGATTTGTCCAGACAGCTGCCAGGAATCAAGATTAACTCTAAAAAAGCAGTCGATGAAAAGGCATCTTCTGCTTTATTTATTTTATATCCCACCTTTATTATTTTTACAACTAACTCAAAGGACAAACATATCCAATACACTTTCTTCCTATTTACCCCACAACAACCCCATGAAGTAAATTGGGCTGAGACAAAGTACGTGACCCAAATGGCTAAACTCACAATCACTTGATGATTGACCCATATTCACCTCATTTTCTTTATACACATTCACTAAAATATTGATTTTTTTTTTCAAAAACATGTTTTAAGCCTTGTAGATGTTTAGGGCATCGATTTGCCCTTTTAATATTCCCAAATCCCCCTGCCCAAGTGTATCTGTTTATACAATAATTGATAAATTGCCCACTTCACCTGATGCTCTTTACAACAGAAGCAGCAACATCAACAATCATAGTCAGTGTACAGAAAAATGTAAGACCCACACAGAGTAGAACTTGCAAGATAGATAAGATAATCAGTGTGTGATTATATCCAACAAGTTGGTGCTTAGCAACCATATACCTAAGACCAGCTCCCTAACCTGTCTTTCAGGTTTCCCAATGATGCATCCACTGCTGCCGTAATTCTTCCACCTTTTATGGTCATCCCTTTCTCCTTCCTTCCAATTTTGCCAACATTATGAGGAGCATGAAAATATCTATAATATTACCTGTCCAAGACCCGTAATCAAATGAAATTATTCGTTTTTTTAAAACTAATTATCATTTATTATTGAGGGAAAAGTATGTACATCTGTATTTTCAGAGTCAAAAATAAATAAATTTATTTTTAATATTAACATTACAGAGGGAACAATCAAGAGTTAATATCTGGGAAATGCTCTGGATTTGCTAGGTGTCCCATTGTATTGGGTACCAGCTGAGATCCCATTTTTTGCAAGCGCTAGCAATAAAAGTGAAGGAGCAAAGTGAAAAAATGGGATTAAAATTAAACACGAAGAAGAAGTTAAACTAATGACAACAGGCAAAACAACCAGGGAAGTTCTTAAAGTGGGAGAGAGGTTCTACTTTTTAGAATCAACCATCCATTAGGAGGCTTCGTGGATTTGTCACACAGGTGGTCCTCAACTTATAACCATTCATTTGGTGACTATTCCAAGTTACAACAGCACTGAAAAAAATGGCAGGGCTGTTTTTCACACCACTGTTGCAGCCTCCCTGTGGTCATGTGATCAGAATTCAAACGCTTGGCAACTGACATGTATTTATGACAGTTGCAGTGTTCCGGGGTCATGTGATCACATTTGACAGCTTTCTGACAAGCAAAGTCAATGGGGAAGTGATTGACTTAACAACCCTGTTACTAACTTAACTGCAGTGATTCACTTAACAATGGTGGCAAGAAATGTTGTAAAACGGGGCAAAACTCACTTAAGTCTTGCTTAGCAATAAAAACGTTGGATTCAGTTGTGGTCATTAAGTCAAGAACTACCTTTACAGGCACTTATTCAAACAAATACTCTGCAGAGGAGAGGGGGGGGGGGTTGGTTTTTATTTATTTATTTATTTATTTTCTGTTTTTAATTCCAACCATGTGCCGGGTTGGAAGAGCTGCCTCTACCATGCAGGCAGGCTGCTATGAACAGTCTATTTAATACCCAGTTCTCTTAAGCAATCCTGCATGTTATTTTTTTCTCATTACTTTTGATGGATCACATGCCTAAGAAGAAGTACATTTAAAGCACTTTAAGCCATTAGTATTTTAAATCAACAAAACTGGGACTCTCTTACCACATAAGCTTTTTTTTTTTTAAAGAGAGTGGTTGATTTATAATGCTTGACTGGAAAAGAGATTGTTTTATGTACTGTAGCATATATCAGCAAGGAAGAGCCTTTTGCATCTCTCCTTTTATAGGTTGTACCAACAAGCACTCTAAGAGAGAGATGATGATGTTGATGATGATGATAATAATTATAATAATAACAATGATGATGATGATAATAATAATAATGATAATGATAATAAAGCTTTATATGGAACAGCTTACATCCTGCAAGGATACCTTTAACACCATCAAAGAACAACATCTGTCTATCCAACTCCTTGAGAAGGACTTGACAAGTAGATATAAATATCAAATTCAGTCTAAAGATTTGGCTTACTATGCAGCCAACCATAGAAATAATGGATCTGCCTTCTGACAAACAAAGTCAACGGGGGGGGAGGGAGAGAGAATGGGATAAAGCTTCACAACCATGTGATTTATTTAGCAACTTTAACGATTCATCTAACAACCATGGTAAAAAAAAAAAAAAGGTTGTAAAATTGGCCATGACTCATTGAACAACTACCTTGCTTAGAACAAAATTCTGGTCCAACTGAGTTCGTAAGTCGAGAACTTCCTGTGCTGTAAAGCAGTGGTTCTCAACCTTTTCTTCAGCACAGACACACCCCCCCTTGAAATACCTTTTGTGGCCACAGGCCATGGCCACGGAGCCCCCCCCCCCAAGACTTAACTCAAGATTTAAATCATAATATTTCTTCCAAGTTTCGCAGACCCCTTGTGATGACATGGTAAACCCCCCAGGGGTCCACGGACCACAGGTTGAGAACCACTGCTGTACCCTAAAACCAGCTCAGATATGGCAAGAAAGAAGGTGGGAGGCTAGGTCCTCTAGGTCACAATTTCCACTCCTCTTGCCATAAAACTTGACTTTATAATCCAGGACAGACTGTATTTCCTCTTCGACATCGATGGAAAATTACAGAAGGCACCTGCTTGTGTAAATAAGTAGAAAACAGGTTTGCCTTAAGGTTTTTTTTCCTCCAAAGACTTCCTCTTTTCCAAGCTAGCACATCACAGGTAGAGAGAGAGTGGAACAAAAAAAAAAGGTTTTCATTTTCTCCAAAAATTTCCTAAATACAGTTATAGCATTTCATGTATTTTAAGGACATTTATCACCCATTTCACAAAGCTATCATATGGTTTGTTTGGTTTTGGCTTAAGTTGTGTGCCACCACCCTACTGTGGCTTGTAAGCTGTAGTTTACACTGTTAAAAACCCAACTCATATTGGTTATTCAAGAAAATGTGCTTAAGCATGTTATGCATTACCAATTGAAAACCATCGTGTTGTTAGTTTATTTCAATATTTCCGTTATAATTGACTGCCTTTAAGCTTTTGTAGTTGGGTGTTTTTTTTCCATAGCCCTAAGACATGGCTGGCTTATGTCCCATTTTGCACTCAAACTATACACACCACACCTTTCTGGAAAAATTAACAAAGAAAGAACACTGCATATTGTTGAGCCATTGTGGCACCCTTAGTTCTGCTTTGTGCCTTAGTGAACTGGTTGAGAGTTATTCATTTAATATTAATTTATTTAATAAATGTATAGGCCAGGGGTAGGCAACCTTGGCTCTTTTATGACTGGTGGACTTCAACCCCCAGAATTCCTGAGCCAGCCATGCTGAGGGGAAAGGGAGAGGTTTCCAAGCTAAGCCATGCTGGCTCAGGAACTCTGGGAGTTGAAGTCTACGAGTCATAAACGAGCCAAGGTTGCCTACCCCTGGTATAGGCTATCTCATCTGTATAGGTCATCTCATAGGTCATCTGACTCTGGGCAGCTACCAAGTAAACAACAGTAAAAACTATAAAAATAACCAGAATTGAAAACATTACCTAACTCCCAGGATATGCTTTGCCTGGCCTGCGGCTGCTAATGCTAGCCTGTAAAAGAAACAGGATCCTCCAAAATGTGCCTTTAACTGATAAGAAAAAGAGGGAAAAAAACCACAAAACAAATTCTATTACGTTACATGCTGGCCTCATAGTGCTGAGTATGTGGCTAGTTTGCATAATCATTTATATGTTTTAGGGATTCCAAGTCAGATCTCGGCAGCTTGACATCCTATACCAGTGTTTTCTCAACCGTGACAATTTTAAGGCATGTGGACTTCAATTCCCAGAATTCCACAGCCAGCATTGCTGGCTGTGGAATTCTGGGAGTTGAAGTCCACATGCCTTAAAATTGTCAAGGTTGAGAAACACTGTCCTATACGTTGTTATTTTATATGTGTTGTTGTTCTTATGTTAACTTGTTATTAGCTACCCAGAAGTATGAGCCGAAAGAGGTGATCTTATGAGCCTCTATAGATTTGTGCCTTCAGGCCAGTCTTGTTGCTTGGTGATTGCCTGAACCAGTCCCTGCAGTTTTCTTGGCAAGGTTTTTCAGAAGGGGCTTGCCATTGCCTGCTTCCTGGGGCTAAGAGAGGGCCTGGCTCAAGATCACCCAGCTGGCTTTGTGCCTAAGGCAGGACTAGAACTCATGGTCCCTCAATTTCTATCCTGTGGCTGTAGCCACTACACCAAGTGGCTCCCAAAATCATACATAAATACTTAAATAAAACCAGTCCCTACTGCTTTGTCCTTAATTTTGCAAAGTATCAATAAAATCAAGCAGGGAGGATGAGGAGGAGGAGGAGGTGGAGGAGGAGGAGGAGGAGGAGGAGGAGGAGGAGGAGGAGGAGGAGGAGGAGGAAAGATAAAGGTAGCCCTCAACATATGACCATAATGGAGCCCCTCCATTACGGTCGCATATCATGAGTCTTAAAATGGGTTGGTAGCATTATTAACCTGATTTTACAACTTCTTTTCGGAGGACGTAAAACAGTACATTCATGAAGCAAACCCATTATTAGCTGGAATGCAGTTTTGCAGAAAACCGGAAGTAAACTGACTAGGTCATAAAAGGTGATCACCTGACCGCAGGACGCTGTAAGCGGCTGTAAATATGGCTGCATTGCTGAGTGCCTGAAGTGTAGTCAGGTGACAATTTAAACTTCGGAACCAGGTTGTAACTTTAAACAGTTACTAAGCAACCCGCTGTAAGCTGAGGATTATCTGTATAAACATCTCCTTCCAACGCTGAATAATCCCATATAAAATATTCACGAACAAAGGAGATAAAATATTTGTTGTTGTTGTTAGTTGCGAAGTCGTGTCCGACCCATCGCGACCCCATGGACAACATTCCTCCAGGCCTTCCTGTCCTCTACCATCTTCTGGAGTCCCTTTAAGCTCACGCCTGCTGCTTCAGGGACTCCATCCAGTCACCTCCTTCTCTTTCGTCCCTTTTTCTCTTGCCCTCCATCTTTCCCAGCATCAGGCTCTTCTCCAGGGAGTCCTTCCTTCTCATTAGGTGGCCAAAGTATTTGAGTTTTAACTTCAGGATCTGGCCTTCTAAAGAGCAGTCGGGGTTGATCTCCTCTAGGACTGACCGGTTTGATCGCCTTGCAGTCCAGGGGACTCGCAGGAGTCTTCTCCAGCCCCAGAGTTCAAAGGCCTCGATTCAATTGTTCAAAATCACAGATCATAACTTGAAAAGATCCCCCCCCCCCAGAGAACATCTATAAAGTACGGGTAGTTCTCGACTTCCACAATTCCTTTAGTGACCATTCTAAGTTACAACGGCACTGAAAAAAGTGACTTTTGACTGTTTTCACACTTGCGACCGTTGCTGCATCCCCATGGTCACGTGATTAAATTCAGATGCTTGGCAACTGACTCATATTTATGACGGTTGAAATGTCCCGGGGTCATGTGACCACCTTTTGCGACCTCCTGACAAGCAAAGTCAATGGCGAAGCCACATTCATTTAACAACCAATTTAACAATTACAGGATGGCCAAGCTCACTTAACAACTTCCTCACTTAGGAGCATAAATTTTGGAGTCAGTTGTGGTCATAGGTTCGAGGACTACCTGTACAATGGAAGTTTCTGGGTGAAGTCCTAAGGACTCCTTTAGAAGCCCTCGGCTGAAGAGATTCCCAGCTG